GCTGTGTAAAGCATACTTTTTAATTTATTTTGCAAATGCTGCATCCTTTCCGACTTGTTGTAATTTGGTAACATTTCAGCCACTTTCTGCTTATACCGGGGGTCTAGTAGCGTGGACACCCAGTACAGGTCGTTCTCCTTCAGCCTTTTTACAGCATGAAAGACCCCATTTGCACAAGGTTGGATGCCGAGCTACTCATTTCCCGTTCCTCCTCCTCAGTGATCTCAATGAAGGTATGTTCTTCCCCCCAGCCACGTACAACACCACGGGTACCAGATAGGTGACAACGAGCACCCTGGGATGCCTGTTGTGGTTGGTCTTCCTCCTCCTCCTCCTCAAAGCCACATTCCTCCTCTGACTCCTTTTCCTCACAATCCTCTTCCAGCATTGCCGCAGGTCCAGCAAGCGATGCTGATAAGGCTGTTTCTGGTGGTGATGGTGACCACAACTCTTCCTCTTCACGCTCATCTACGGCCTGATCCAGCACTCTTCGCAGGGCACGCTCCAGGAAGAAAACAAATGGTATGATGTCGCTGATGGTGCCTTCGGTGCGACTGACTAGGTTTGTCACCTCCTCAAAAGGACGCATGAGCCTACAGGCATTGCGCATGAGCGTCCAGTAACGTGGCAAAAAAATTCCCAGCTCCCAGAGGCTGTCCTAGCACCCCGGTCATACAAATATTCATTAACGGCTTTTTCTTGTTGGAGCAGGCGGTCGAACATTAGGAGTGTTGAATTCCAACGTGTCGGGCTGTCGCAAATCAAGCGCCTCACTGGCATGTTGTTTCGCCGCTGGATATCGGCAAAGTGAGCCATGGCCGTGTAGGAACGCCTGAAATGGCCACACACCTTCCTGGCCTGCTTCAGGACGTCCTGTAAGCATGTGTACTTATGCACAAAGCGTTGTACGATCAGATTACACACATGTGCCATGCACAGCACATGTGTCAACTTGCCCAACTTCAATGCCGCCAACAAATTTGTTCCGTTGTCACAAACCACTTTGCCGATCTCCAGTTGCTGCACAGTCAGCCACTTTTCCACCTGTGCATTCAGGGCGGACAGGAGTGCTTGTGCGGTGTGACTATCTGCTTTCAAGCAAGTCAAACCCAAGACGGTGTGACAATGCCGTATCCGGGATGTGGAATAGTACCTGGGGAGCTGGGGGGGTGCCGTTGAGCAAGACGCAGCAGCAGAAGAGGACTCAGCCGAGGAGGTTATAGAAGAGGATGGAGTAGGAGCAGTAGAGGAGGTGGCAGCAGGCCTGCCTGAAAGTCTTGGCGGTGTCACCAACTCCTCTGCAGAGCCACGTATTCCATGCTTGGCAGCCGTCAGCAGGTTTACCCAATGCGCAGTGTAGGTGATATACCTGCCCTGACCATGCTTTGCAGACCAGGTATCAGTGGTCAGATGGACCCTTGCCCCAACACTGTGTGCCAGACATGCCATTACTTCCTTTTGCACAATCGAGTACAGGTTGGGGATTGCCTTTTGTGAAAAGAAATTTCGTCCGGGTATCTTCCACTGCGGTGTTCCAATAGCTACAAATGTTTTGAACGCCTCAGACTCCACCAGCTTGTATGGTAAAAGCTGGCGGGCTAATAGTACAGACAAGCCAGCTGTCAGGCGCCGGGCAAGGGGGTGACTTTCTGATATTGGCTTCTTACTCTCAAACATGTCCTTGACAGACACCTGACTGTGGGCAGATGAGCAGGAACTGCTCAAGGCGAGAGACGGAGTGGCGGATGGTTGAGAGGGGGCAAGGAGCACAGCAGTGGTTGACGTGGCTGAAGATGCTGGACCAGGAGGAGGATGGCGGCTTTGAGTTTGTGTGCTGCTTGTACTCATGTGTTGATCCCATAGGCGTTTGTGATGTGCGATCATGTGCCTACGCAAAGCAGTTGTACCTAGGTGGGTGTTGGACTTCCCACGACTCAGTTTCTTTTGGCACAGGTTGCAAATGGCATCACTGTTGTCAGAGGCAGACACACAAAAAAAATGCCACACTGCTGAGCTCTGCAATGACGGCATTCTGGTGGTGGACACAGCATGCGTTGATTGGCGTGCTGTCGGGCTGACCCCGGGTGCCGATGCATGCTGTCTGACTGTGCCACTAGCTCCTTGCGACGACCTCCCCCTGCTTCCAACTCGTCTCCTCCTCCTCTCTGTCTCCCCATCTGAACTTTCGCCCTGTTCTTCTTCTTGCCGAGCGGGCACCCACGTGACATCCATGGACGCATTGTCATCATCAACCGCTTCACTTGTATCTGACAACTCAGCAAAGGAAGCAGCAGCGGGTACAACATCATCATCATCACACCGTACATGTGTAATGCTGCCTGATTGAGACATATCCCTGTTATCTACATCCTCTGTCAATAATGGTTGTGCATCACTCATTTCTTCAAACGGATGTGTAAATAACTCCTCTGACATACCAAGTGAAGCGGCTGTGGTGCTAGTGTTGGTGGTGGCGGCAGGCGGGTGAGTGGTATCTTGAGAGGTGCCCGAAGCTAAGCTGGAGGAGAATGTTGCGTCAAGGTTCCGAGCGGAAGCTGTAGAAGATTGGGTGTCCTGTGTTAGCCAGTCAACTATGTCCTCAGAACTTTTCAAGTTCAGGGTACCTGGCCTCTGAAAACTGGCCATTATTCTAGGGCAAAAGGGAATCACAGCACCACAACCACGACGGCCCCTGTGGGGTGGCCTGCCTCTGCCTGTCATTTTTTTTTCGATTAGTGGTACTATGCGTGCAAGCTACTGTGACACCAGATATGAGTGGCACTGTTAACTGGCAGAGGTTGGCAGAGTACACGCTGTAGGGCTGACACACCCACTTTGAGACAACTAACTGCTATTCAATCTATAACAGTGAAAAAAGTTTTTTGTTTTTAAATGCAAGCTACTGTGACACCAGATATGAGAGGCACTGTGAACTGGCAAAGGTTGGCAGAGTACACGTTGTAGGCCTGACACACAGACGCTTGGAGACAACTAACTGCTATTCAATCTATAACAGTGAAAAAAGCTTTTGGGTTTTTAAATGCAAGCTATTGTGAAACAAGATAAGAGTGGCACTTTGAACTGGCAAAGGTTACATAGTTACATAGTTACATAGTTACATAGCTGAAAAGAGACTTGCGTCCATCAAGTTCAGCCTTCCTCACATTTGTTTTTTGCTGTTGATCCAAAAGAAGGCAAAAAAACCCAGTTTGAAGCACAATTTTGCAACAAGCTAGGAAAAAAATTCCTTCTTGACCCCAGAATGGCAGTCAGATTTATCCTTGGATCAAGCAGTTATTACCCTACATTGAAAGATTATATCCTTGAATATTCTGTTCTTGCAAGTATGCATCTAGTAGCCGTTTGAACATCTGTATGGACTCTGATAAAACCACTTCTTCAGGCAGAGAATTCCACATCCTGATTGTTCTTACAGTAAAAAAACCTTTCCTTTGCCTTAGACGAAATCTTCTTTCTTCCAGTCTAAACGCATGGCCTCGTGTCCTATGTAAAGTCCGGTTTGTGAATAGATTTCCACACAATGGTTTGTATTGGCCCCGAATATATTTGTATAATGTTATCATATCCCCTCTCAGGCGACGTTTTTCTAAACTAAATAGGTTTAAATTTGTTAACCTTTCTTCATAGCCGATATGTTCCATTCCTTTTATTAATTTTGTAGCCCGCCTCTGCACTTTTTCTAGTGCCATAATATCCTTCTTTAGAACAGGTGCCCAAAATTGCACAGCATATTCAATATGGGGTCTTACCAGTGATTTATAAAGAGGCAAAATTATATTCTCGTCCCGAGAATGAATGCCCTTTTTCATGCATGACAATACCTTACTGGCCTTGGCCACTGCTGATTGACATTGCACATTGTTGCATAGTTTGTTGTCTATAACAATTCCCAAGTCCTTTTCATGTGTTGTTATCCCTAATTTTATCACATGACAGGAGGCTTCGTATTTTGCATAATCTTTCTTTACTATCTCCATAGCAGCAAAGAAATGAGTGACAAAACTTTTAACCAATCACAACGTAGAATAGGGTATAAGAGGTGAGACCTATGACATCATTTCCTCTTTCTTTGCTGCTCCATCACAAGTTAAGTACCAAATTTTGTATTATCTATTCAACATACACTTTTCATTTACATGCCTTTTGTTTTCACTGTACCTTTATATATTTACCCTATTAATGCTCTTAACCCCTGTATACCAGGGACCCTGTCTGGCTCCCTCACTGTCTTTCACGGCTCTCCCGCCGTCTGTACTTTCCCTCCATTTTCTCTGTTTCTCTTTAACAGATTTTCTGTTCTTTTTACCGAACGCGTTATTCGGTAGTTTTGCGCATTCGCCTGTTTTACTCGAATGCCCGCGCGACCGCACATTGACTATTCGTTTCTAACTACCGAACGCTTCGTTCGGCAGTTTGACGCGATCGCCTTTTTAAACGTTCGCACGTTCGGCAGTTCGCATAGATCTTCTATTCACACGTTCGGCAGTTCGCATAGATCTTCTATTCACGTTCGGCAGTTTTATGCGAATGGCAAGCTTACAGTTTGCCGCCCAAACTGGGGGAGGTACTATTCTCCACACACTGAGCCTGTCAGTCCGGCGGCCATCTTAAAGAGATAGACACTGCCTGATTTTTCTGCTCCTGCTATTCCAACAAGCAATTGAAAAGCCTTACCCGTTTTCACTCAGTGGGACCAGGTTAGTGCCTTACACTTGGGGTTGGTTTAGCCAGTTGGTCTGCACCTTATTCTGGCCGGGGTGAGCCCCCATTTTACGCTGCTAAACGGTCCTGTTTATGCAGGTTCCGATCACCTGGGTGAGCCCCAGTGAATCAGCCCTCTCCTCTACGACCTACCGGTCTCTAACCACAGGTTATTTAGTCCTGATACCATACCACCCCGGTCCCCAGGCCTCTCCATTAATCGTGCCTAGTGCCCTCACGCAATTTACCGGGTGAGCCCCGAATCTTCACTCCTCATAATGGAGGAATCACAAACCCCAGACCTCCAGGCCATGATAACAGCAGCCGTGGCTGCAGCCATGGAACAAGCCGCTTCCAAGTCGCTCCAAACAAACCCTGAGGTTCCCAGGCCCACCTCTAAACGGGTTCATTATAAGGCGGACTCCGAAGACTCTGACTCTTCCAGGGAACACTCCCAAAGGCGAAAACGCCATTGGAAGGGCAATGTAACCCCACGCAAGGCTAAAGGGAAAGCCCCTGCTGATCGCAGGAAAGCCACGGTTCGTGCTACCCACGATGCCACACAACTTTCCTCAGGTGAGGAAGATGTAGAACCCACTCAGGCACTAGCTGTGCTGGATGAATGGCAGGCGGCAGCCTCTGACCAGGGGGACTCCAACAGGGATTCCACGGCCAACTCTGACCCTTACTTCATAAGGGAACAGGGTCTGGGTGAGCCCCAGGACTCCATGGCAACATCCATTGATAACCCACAGGAGGGCTCGGAGATTTTCCTTGACAATTCGGGCCTCCAAATGTTTGACCCAAGAAACATCCGGCACCCCTGTTCGGAAGAATGGTCACCACCTGCGCATTTGGCAAGGTTTATGCACTTCTGGCTCAGAAAACCGCTAGACAAGGAAGTAAGAAACCGGATGAGATCCGAATGCCCTCGCCCTAGTCTACCGGACAAAGTGACGCACACCCCCGAGTTTGACCCGCTCATGACTACGTTCATGTTCCAAGGGGGTCGGGATCTGCGCAAGGGCATAGAGCGCGGCTTTAAAGGAGCGCAAGATAAGCTGTTAGATGCCATTGGGCCACTAGCCAGAATCATGGATATGGCGGATGAAGCCTATGAGAGGGCTGACACTTTTACCCCAGATACGGTGCGTGAATGGGCACGAGATACCCGTGAATGGGCACAAAGGTGTTTCTGTTTCTTAGGGAACACCAACGTAGCCCTCTCTTGGGAGAGGCGCCGAGCAGCACTTTACCGTATCGACGAAAAACTGGTCGAACTGGGGGATAAGGAATTAGGACCCTTAGCACAGGGTAAATTATTTGGAGAGGCCTTCCTTAAGGAATTAAATAAAAGGGTCAACATATTCACGTCCCTTAACAAGGCACAATCTTCAATGCGGAAAGTCTTCCGCGGTTCCCACACCCGTGGTGTTTTTGGAAGGGCTGGACGGCAGAGGGGCCGTGCCGCCAGCCGTTTTTGGCCATCCGGCGCCGTACAACAAGGACTCAGATGTTCTACCCAGACTCATCTAGTCGAAATAGATTCAACCACTTCAGGGGATCTGATCGTGGCCGAGGCACCCGAGGACGCTCACGAGCAAGATTCTCCAACGGTAAGTCGGAATCTTACTCTTCCTCTAACCCCCTGTCATATCGCAGGTCGTGTTTCTCTTTTTTTTTTTTTTTTCAGAACTGGAAAGCACTATCTTCAGATGCGTGGATAATCCAAACGGTGCAGGGCTATCGAATAGAGTTCGACTCGACCCCGCTCCAGCTGACCCCTCCACGTCCAATCCAGACTACACGAGCAGATGCCCGCCTCATAGACGCGGAACTCCGAGAACTCCGCTCCAAGGGTGCCATTCAACCGGCTCCCGATGCCACCGGTTTCTACAGCAATATCTTCCTGGTCAGGAAGAAAACAGGCGAATTTCGCCCCGTTATCAATCTCAGGGAGCTCAATTCGCACGTAGTATATCAACACTTCAAAATGGAAGGTATACATCTCCTCCGGGACTTGCTTCGACGCGACGACTGGTTCACTCGTCTGGACCTCAAAGATGCGTACCTTACCATTCCGGTACACAGAAGCAGCCGTCCCTACCTCCGCTTCTTCTGGCACGGGATCCCTTGGCAGTTCACCTGTCTCCCGTTTGGCCTCAGCTCAGCCCCGTGGTGTTTTACCAAGATTATGAAGCCGGTAGTGGCAAAAATCAGATCCCAAGGTATAAGATGCATCATCTACCTCGACGATATCCTGATCTTCGACGAGGATGCAGACACTCTGCGGAGACATACGGATACGCACTACACCTTTTGGACTCTCTGGGTTTCGTCGTCAACCGTCCCAAGTCCGCATTGACCCCGGCTCAATCAGTTCAATTCCTCGGATTCGTAATAGACTCCACATCATGCACTCTTCACCTCCCGGCTACCAAAATTACGGCAATCCGCAGGGAGATCCGGAAAGTCCTTCGTCGGACTACCATACCCCTACGATTACTGGCACGGATCGTAGGCCTTCTCTCCGCGTCCATCCAGGCCATTTTTCCCGGGCCCCTGCACTACAGGGCCATGCAACGCCTCAAGGCAAGTTTCCTTCGCAGACAACCGACATACGACCAACCGGTTCCAATGTCGGTCGAAGTTCGGGAAGAACTACACTGGTGGCTAAATTGCATGCAGGCTTGGAACGGCAGGGCCATATTCGGGAACCAGCCAGACTTCGTGCTGGAATCGGATGCCAGCCGTTCAGGCTGGGGGGCAACAGACGGAACCACGTCCACAGGAGGAGTCTGGACTTCCGAAGAGCTCTCGATGCACATAAATTGCCTGGAACTCTTGGCCGGGTCCTTCGCCATTCGCAGCCTGGCAAAGGACCGATCCAACTGCTGCATCCTACTCCGCATGGACAACGTCTCAGCGGTCAGATACATCAACCGCCTTGGAGGCACTCGTTCTCGAACACTGGCGGATCTCACGAAAGAGATCTTCGACTACTGCCTACCACGCAACATCACCTTGCTGGCAGAGCACTTACCAGGAGACTCCAATACGACGGCGGATTGGTACTCACGCCACTGGCGGGACGCCAGCGATTGGCAGCTAGACCCTCACATTTTCGCGCTACTGGATGCACAGAGAGGACCTCTCTACCTAGACCTTTTCGCGTCCCGCAACAATCGACAGACAGAAGTTTTCTTCAGCTGGCTCCCAGACCCGGAGAGCCTCGCAACGGACGCTTTTCTCCAACAATGGCCAAGGGACGGCGCCTACGCATTCCCTCCTTTCGCAATGATAACGAGGGTCCTTCACCGGATCCGTCTACAGGGACTGAGAATAATTCTCATCACGCCGCTCTGGCAGAGCCAGCCATGGTTTCCGGACCTTCTGGAACTCTCAATCAACGACCCCCTCCTCCTACCAGATGCCCCAACCATCCTCAGGAATCCATTGGGCCTTCCTCACCCACTAGTCCTGCAGGAACGCATGCCCCTTGTGGCCTGGACTCTTTCCGGGGTTCCTGGAGAACCGAAGAATTATCGCAGGAAACTAAGGACCTGCTATGGGATTCATGGGCACCAGGAACTAGGAGGTGCTACTTATCAGCATGGCACTCCTGGACAAGTTGGTGTGTGGGACGGGACCTCAATCCCTTTACTGCACCTACTCACTCCATCATGAATTTCTTAACTTCACTTTTCACCGCAGGAAAGTCATACCGTTCCATCAATGTGGTACGGTCAGCCATCTCAGCGGCTCATACTCCGATACAGGGGATTCCTGTTGGTAAGGACCCGCTCATCTGCAGACTTCTCCGCGGTATGCGCCTACGGCGCCCCCCGGAACCTAAATATTCTAGTCTCTGGGACGTTGGCGTGGTCCTTCAATTTTTACGTAATTGGCCTCCCAACGAAAAACTATCACTCCGCCAGCTTACCGCAAAATTCACCCTCCTGCTCTGTCTGGTTTCCTTTCGACGGGTAGCGGACGTACGCGCCTTTGATGCCAACGCGTTTACTTTCTGTCCGGCGGGTGTCACCTTTCAGATCTCACGTCGCACTAAGTCCAACTCTCTCTCGGTCTTCTACCCTTTCTTCCCTTCTGACCCTCAACTCTGCGTGGTCTCAACCCTCCGTCACTACGTGGAAGCCACCGCGACGTTGCGGCAACCTTCCACTCATCAACTTCTCATCTCTTACGTCCGCCCTTATGGTCCGGTCTCGGTTACTACACTGGCCAGATGGGTTAGGTGGCTACTATCCCTTGCCGGTATTGACCAAACTTTTGGAGCACACTCCGTTCGTGGGGCAGCGGCCTCTTCCGCTTATGCGGCAGGCGCGTCCCTCTCGGACATTTTACGAGCAGCGGACTGGACCAGAGAATCTACCTTTAGGACATTCTACTTTCGTCCTCTTGATAATCCGGCATTTGCTTTTCTTTCTCAGCGTTGAAATTGCAAAATACGAAGCCTCCTGTCATGTGATAAAATTGAAGATTATGCTAGCTTTAGTGTACAGATAATCTTAATTTTAATAATGACAGGAGGCGAGTATTTTCCCTCCCTGTTCTCTTTCGTTCTTCCCTCCCTTTTATTTTCACTTCTACCTACTACACTTTGCTCTCTCATATGTTGGTATAATACCTGACACGATAGCTCTTGTTTAACTGCCTTATTTACATCATAGAGATATATATATATATATTGTTTGGGTGGGATACTTATTTAACACCGCTAGGGAGGACGTTTAGTTTATTTTATTCTCATGTTACTAGACGATATTAAAGTTGAATTACGGGACAGACATCCTTTGTTTTATACAATCACTTCTGGACTCTAACGCACCTTATACTCTCGTTTCAGCTTAACCAGGAGCTACACGGAATCATTAAAGTCTCCATGCAAGATGTCGTCATCATCGCATCAGGAGATTCATCATCAGGTCTTCGTAGACCATCGTTTGACAAGGACACGTCTTCATCTGCATTCTACCTGTTCCGGTTCAGTTTATTCTGATTAAGTTTCCAGTTTCTTGTTCTATGGACTTCACAGCTGTTCGGTTATTTTTTCTACTTTTATGGTCTTGTGATGTCGCAAGTTTTAAAGAGGAAATGATGTCATAGGTTTCACCTCTTATACCCTATTCTACGTTGTGATTGGTTAAAAGTTTTGTCACTCATTTCTTTGCTGCTATGGAGATAGTAAAGAAAGATTATGCAAAATACTCGCCTCCTGTCATTATTAAAATTAAGATTATCTGTACACTAAAGCTAGCATAATCTTCAATTCGCTTCCATTAAGGGTATACGTTGCTTGTGTATTCTTTACGCCGAAGTGCATAACTTTGCATTTTTCAACATTAAATTTCATCTGCCATTTGAGTGCCCAGTCTCCCAGTCTATCTAAATCCCTCTGCAGCAAAGTAATATCTTGCTCACATTGTATTGTTTTACAAAATTTTGTGTCATCTGCAAACACTGAAACATGACTTTCAATGCGGTCTTCAAGATCATTTATAAACATGTTAAATAGAAGGGGTCCCAGAACAGACCCCTGAGGGACACCACTTGCCACCTCTGTCCAGCTTGAAAATTTACCATTAATGACAACTCTTTGTACTCTGTTTTTAAGCCAATGTTCTACCCAAGAACAAGCATTTTCATCTAGACCGATTTCCTTGAGTTTGAACACTAATCTATTGTGTGGAACTGTATCAAATGCCTTGGCAAAATCCAAAAAGATCACATCCACGGCAACACCCTGATCTATACTTC